ATTTAAAGATTTTAACTGAAGTGTTCAAATTACTAATACATATACAATTATATTTACATTTTTTTTTCTTTCCAAAAATTTAATCAGAAGAAAATAATTTGAAATAAAAACCTTCAATAAATCTATGTTCCAGAATTAAAAATGTATTTTCTGCACACGTTAACTGTTTGTTCACTCAGTATATTTTAAACTTAATCTTCAAATACTTATTTTATCGTTATAACTAGTTTTACAATTATGTAAAGGATCATTGTAAACCAGCTAAGAACAATACAAAAGAAACCTAGATAAATTTATATGCTACCATTTCATAAAGACAAATTTTACACATGTATAGGGTACTATAATAACATACTAATTTTCGAAATTTCGCTTTTGCAATTACTCTCGTCTTAAATTTGTTAAAAATGTGATTTCTTAATTGAAATAAACAATTAAAGAATGGTGCACAAAGTTTTCTGAAATGGTATTCTGTTTTATGCTTTAATAAAAAGGGAAAAAATAAAGATAAAATAGCAAACATTGTTCTGTTTGATCACATTCTTCTTTACTTCTTGTATGTCAATTTCTCTCCTACATGTACATCAAAAGTATACCATTATTTTCCAGTGTAACCAAATTCTTAAAGTAAATGCCGTTTAATTAGGTACACAAACAATTTGAATGAAATCAACAAGCACTTAAGTTAATAAACAGTCTTTCTTATCTCTAGGGGTCTCTGCTACGCTAACAACGTCATCCGGTATTAGATGTTACACGTGTTCTTTCACTGTCAACAAACCATACGTATTGAGGGAATGTGTCAACAATACTGATGTTATATCTATCAGACAGTATACCCGACCTTGTGAACATTATTGCTATACAGAGGAGAGGTTTAACATACGTAAGTAAACAATAACTTTGGTCCTAATGAGGGTAACCTATTGTCTTAACTTTAACACTTGGAAAAGAATTTAAGTCAAATGAAAGAATTAGTATGTATAGCATACAGAGATGAGTGATCATATTTAAGCGTCGAACATTTTTCCTGATTTGCTGCATAAAATTGCTCTGCTAAACGGTGGGTGTGACCGGTCGACAGGGGATGCTCACTCTTCCATCGTACCTGATCCCACCTATGATGTTTTGGAGGATGTCCGTGTTTGCTCTGCTCCTATTTTTAGAATGCCTGTCTAAAAATCTTTCTCTTCTTTCCTTCTAAATATATCGTTTATAAATTGTCATGGATATGGAGATAACGAACAGTATTCACTATCAAAGTTCATAAAACAATACATTATTGTATAAATAATGAACTAACAATTAGTATGAAAAACGTCAGCCAGCATTTGACTCAATGATAAATTGCTTTTGCTGACAAGGTCATTGTATCCGCCATAGAACTTACGAAATGATGGCTTTAAACGAGACTGCTGATACATATTGAGTCAGTTGCTACAAAAGTAAGGAAGTTGACGATAGAAAAGTCATCACGTTTGTCATTATATAAATGGTGCCTGTTTTGGAGAGTGACAGTTGAAACTGACACCCCTCGGAAAACCATTGTCAACCGACGCGTCAGCGGAGGTTGACAATGGTTTTCCGAGGGGTGGCAATTTCAACTGTTACCCTCCAAAACAGGCACCATTTATTTCATTATACTGAATGTCTTCTTGATTTACTATGTCAGCAATACAAATCGTCGATCGCCTTTTCGTTCACGTTTAGAAAGCTTTCAAACTCCCCGCTACTTCGAAAAAGATTTACTGACCTCTTTATTGTTTATTTGATACTCTACGAGTCCTTTATCATCTAAAGTTTCGTTATTTCTGCACTCGCAAGCATGTTTCGTCTGTCGTTTGTTGTTTTCAAGTAAGCTACATCGGACGCAAGCTTTTACTGACGTGAAGTTTATTCCGGTTCTTTCAAACGCGCAACTGACGTTTTGAGAATTCTACGGTGAAACGTACGCGCATAATTTCCACGCATGTGGCATTACCGTTGTGTTACCCGTTGTCACGTGTGTTGCTAAGGCTGAGGGTAATAGAACAGATTGTTATCTGCGTCTAAACTAGATCTACTAGATTTTAGTATTTAACATGAAAGTGTAATAAAAAGCTTTGATATTAGGTTACCATTAATTAGCTGCAATAATGTAGACCTCTCCAAAGTTTTACGTTACATTATTGCAGCTAGGTTACTATTAACATATTTTCTAGCAAAATATCCAAATATGAAACAGATCGATGTGTCAGACTCTAGGATTTTTTTAAATTTCAAATTCACTGGGATATATCAAGTCGACACAGAATGAAAGTAACAATTGTTAATTGATAACATGTCTTCGATAAATCTAAATGTCTGGTAAACGCTACTGGAAATGTTTTCTTCTGCTCATACACTGTATATAATTCTGCGGTTACTCTTCAAATGAGTACAAAAATAGGTTTGTCTTGATCAAAATCTACATGGATATTGTAAATCAGTATCTCTAGCATCAATTTAATACAAACTTCAGAGTTCTTGTATGTACAGTCAGAATGTTTTCAACGACATAATATTGCAAAGCAACATGTAGATAACAGTATTCAAGATCAAAAGTCCGTATAACAATACAAAATAGGAGCAGAACAAACACGGACCTCCAAAACATCAGAGGTGGGATCAGGTGTCATAGATGAGTGAGCATCCCCTGCCGACCGGTCACACCCGCCGCGTGCTCCTTGTCATGATCAGGAAATAACGGGAAAATCCGTCGTCAATTCAGTGTATAAATAATAGACTAAAAATTAGTATAAAAAATGTCAGTCAGCATTTGACTCAGTGATAAATTGTATTTGCTGATAAGGTCATTGTATCGACCAGGGAACTTACGAAATGATGACTTTAAACGAGACTCCTAATATTCTTGTTCCATGAACTTGTTTGTCAATAATTTACCTCGTTTTAGAAATTGTTCATGAATACGTAGAGCATGCTCTTGCTTATTGAATAAACTGAGATACATAAACTCCGTATGCTGTTGATAAAGGTATATTTCTGCATAAGTAAAGGAAGTTGACTATAGAAAAGTTAAAGTCATTACGTTTATCTATCAATGACGAATGACCAGATAAGTAAATTATCGAGTTATCAAAGTCTTTAGCATAAAAAGGTACCACTATTCAACACCTGAAAAATAAAAGTCTATTCCTTTTACATCATCAACAACTGCTTTTTCAATAAAAATGAAACTATCTGGTCATTGATCATTGATAGATAAACGTAATGACTTTAACTTTTTTACTTCACTTGAACAACAAAAGGACTTACATAATACAGTATGTGGTGCATCGTAACAATACAGACAGTTGTTTTGTGAAAACATTTATAAAGCAAAAATAATAAACAGCGACGCTATTTTGTGAACAAACCGATCTTGACTTAACTCCCTTCCTTTGTCAGCTCATTTACGCGCTTCAATGATAAGTATGTTTATTGCTAATACAGAATAAAGTAAATATACCTCTGTAGTAGATAAAATTTGGTTTTTGAGTCTTTTCAAACATTTTTAAAAATATTTTTTATAATTTTTGTATATATTGTTCCAGGTACCAAAGAGGTAGATTCCGTTTTCCGTTCTTGTCGAGATTATCAGAAAAATGGGTGCACGGAGGAGGGCGGCTTTATCACGTGTACCTATTCCTGCATGGGAAGTCTTTGTAACAACATTACAGTGGGGGTAGATCACGTGATTCATTGTGACAACAACCAGTGTTCAATGGCGAGCGCACTGAAAACATCGTTATACCTTTTCATAATTCTGAACTTATTTCGCTATATTTAAGAAGAGTATAAATTAAGGACTACACACTTTTTCATTTATTTTCATGATGCATATAAAAATATATTATGCTCAAAATGTGTATTTATTTCAAAGAAAGTTTGTAATTATTTATTTTAGATAATGTTTATCAAAACCTTGTCCATTTTTTCGTGTAATCTTTGAGATTGAGTGAATGTTTAAATAATATGTGGAAATTTTGTCCATCTTTTACACTGTCAATTAACGTGATCTTTTCTTTGAGACTAATTCTTTTCTTTTTAAAATGATATCTGAAAATCTTTACAGAAATGTTAATTATTTATTACATTCATATTTAAATCAATGAGACTCTTTAAGAGGAAATTTCAAAAATAGAAACATTGATAACAATAAAGTATTAGAGAAATAGTGCATGTCTGCCATATTGATCGAAATGAAACTGTTTATACGGATGTCAATGATGGTAACCAAAGCATTTCACGAAGGAAAAATGGAGCAAAACAGACACCCAAACAATGGAATTAGAGAGCACTCAGGGATGTTTAGTTTTGACACTGATCTTCACAGCATTTCAGTAACGACAGGTTCCATGCAAATTATTATCTTGACTTTATCAACAGGAGATCCATGACTTCAGGATTTTAATTTTGTGCATATATTTTTTAATGTTTTACTTTTAATCCTTAATCACTTACACTTTTTTAAGTTCCGCCCTTTGGGAAATAGCGATAATGAATGGATAAATTAATGATGAAGGGGGGCCTACAGCGTTAATAACAAAGCGCGTGCTTTTAGAGGACTTTTTATGTTTTTGTCGTTTTGACTACTATTTCATTTTCTTCTTTCTTCCATTTTTCTTATGCTTTTCCATTTGAACCAATATAAATCTTTATTCCTTAAAGAAGCAAATAATCTCAAAACTGTTGATTACATTTTTAAATGGCTAGGGTTCATACATTTTTTGTATCTTTTTGGTTTTATAGTTTGCAAGTATATAATCAATGCAATTATTTCGTACTATGTGGATTTCCAGCAATAAATACAACATTGGTATATTTAATGCTTGAACAGAAAGTATGTTGAAAAAAGAAAAGTTTAAAAGAAATTTCTAGAATTCGTTTATTTTGGTGACAAAACAACACGTCTAATATTTGAAAAGGTATTAATGAGTCAAAATCATTAAAACCACTTCAAAGAAAAACTGCACCTCCGTATCCACTCATCTGGGTGGAGCCCCCGAACTGGTCACAGATAAGAGGCATTATATGTAGATTTAAATGATAGAAACCAAGGCATTTGGTGAAGGTAATTTTATACTGTAAAATCATGCGAATTCAGTGTCTACCACGATGAAGTTAGAAAACAAGCCGACGGTCGTCCTATTCTCGATTATTATAACATCGTATGTTCCAGGTAAACTGCATTTTTTTAACTTGGAAAACTGACAATTTATTTATTTATTTTTGTAAAATATATATTTTTTTTCAAATAATGTTTAAGAAACTAATATATTCAGACGAAGAAAAATAAGATTTTTGTTAATACCAGGCCATTTTTATACAGCAATGAAATATATTTTTCACAAAAATTTATTTCAAATATATTTTTTCAATTTTAATAACCATTTATGAATTTGCTACTTTTTAAATTTCATTAACAGATACCCTGGGTTCGACCGACGTAAAATATTTCTCTTGCTTGTCCTGTTCCGGTGCCGACTTCCGGTATGATGCGGACTTACAGTGCTTAAATGATACGGAGTCTATCACAACAGTCATCCCTTGTAACAGTAGCTGGCCGTGTACTTATGGGGAACAGATTGACCAACGTGAGTATATACTACATATAATATATAAATTTTATACTTATTTCAATAATTAATGTTAATCTACAATTCTTAAGGTAACAAGTATACGACTGTACAAACAAAACACATCTTTAAACAAAATATTTTAATTTTCTTTTAATAATTTTTTCAAGTTTAAAAAAAACATTATTCATTTATACTTTGTTTATTGTGTTGCGTATTCATGGCTCGAATAAATTACTATTTTTAAACCATTCTTTTAATAATGAATTTAATTTTGATCTTATCCCAGCTTCAAAACTGATGTTTCGGATTTCAAAAAAGACATTACATGTATTTTTAAGAGTCATTCAAATCTTCACTTCTTCATACATATTCAAACATTTTAAAAGAAAAAAAATGTTTTATAAAATTTTTTTTTGATTTTAAAAAACTTAAAAAAACACATTTCATTAGCCTCTCTTGTTGACTTAATTTTAACATCTTCATATCATCATCAATTTAACTAATGAGACAAAAATTTTATTGACTTAGGCACTAATGAGGTAAAGTCCGTCCTTCGCGGATGCCAACCTTACAATTCCATGGGGACAGAATGTATACCATCAATTCCTAACAAAGACTGTGTTCAGTTCTGCTTCTCGGATAGATGCAACAATGAGACAAACCGTTGGACAAAGAAAAAAGATCACAATGGAAGTGAATGTTTTGTTTCTAATTTGTTTCTTTTTGTAACTTTTCCTCTTCTTGTATTTTTTATTTATTTCAAGTCTAATTAATTACCCGGGTCATCAGGTTTTATTTACTATATAATCCAATATGGATGACTGAAGTGATCTCAACCGAGTGTAAGGCATAGATGGATTTGTATATCAAGCCACGTCTGCTGAATCTCCTGCTGTCTTTCCAATTTTCTCACTAATATTTTGAAGTTTAATTATGTATTTTTCCAGTTTCTTGTATCGTTCTTCATTCAATATATCCTTTATATACATCTGAAATTGAATAAAAAATAAAACAATCTTTGCCATTTGAAATCATTTGCTTATGAACTATTAAAAATTTATAAACTAAAAAGCTTTTCGGTTTTTTTTTTATAATTTGTTTATATTCATTATTTAAGGCTGTACATAATAGATAGGCCAAATTTTCCCTCGCATTCAATTTTTGAAACTTTTTGTTCTATGGTACAAAATCTCTAAATATATTGTATGTTATTTGAAAGAAATTCAACAGCAAATTTTTATCTGAAGGATTCTGAAATCAGAATCAGTTTTTTTTTTTTTTTTGGTTAAAAATAAACAATCAATTAATTCCAAATTTGTGTTATCTTTTTTATGAATACAACCTTTCTGTTCCTACATTTCAGTAATTATTTTTATAGTGGTATAATTAAGTAAAATGTAAATTTAAAATAGAACATGCATAGCCCAGGAATGGGAAATTCACATGTAACTTTCAGTTTTTTCAATCATTCAACTGAAGTGATATAACTCTTTTGTGTGTCTGTGTGTGTGTGAGGGTGTGTGTGTGTGTGTTCTTATAAGAAATGAGTTAATAGAGATTTCATGGGTGTTTTGTACTGCCTTAAGCTGGCTTGGGGTCAATAAATTACCAATCAGATACAGTGAAACTTTACATTTATGCAGAGATTTTGTGTGCCATATTTCATGGAGATTGCACAGTGTTAAAAACAAGAAAAATACTAAAATGGGAAAGAAATTTAATGTCGGAATTTACAGTATGTCGGATTATTCAGGTGTCGGATTAGACAGTTTTCACTGTATAACTTATTTTTGTAGATATGATTTCTTAAGCTATCAACTATCATTTGGCAGAGAAATACATTTTACATTTTAGTTTTAAAATTTCTTTTATGTGTTTTAAAAGAAATTAGTTCAATGACGTTTTATAGTTGCCCCTTTAATTTAAAAAAAAACTCACCAACTGGGTTTCTTTCTCTGTGACAATTTTGAAGACTTTCATTACAGACTGAACAACCTCTATTTTTCGGAGTTTGCCCATTAAAATGCTGAAATATAAAAGTAACGATATTTACGGTTACATTGAGGTTGTTCCTTTAATCTACCGGGGTATATGTCTAGTGGAGCATATATTGTAACAATGCCGTGAATTAGAGGTACATGGACACAGATTTGAAGCTAATATTTTCTGTATAATATCACGACTTATATATTTTAATAGCATTTCACACAAAAATATAAGAACAATTTTATTTTATCTTAATAAGTTATTGAAATTTCAATTTTTTTTAATGGGTTTGATTGACAGATCCTTGCACTCTCACACATTTTATTTTTATTCTTAATATACTTGGGAAAAATGGCAATCTTGTTGTGTATTTATGAAAAATATTAAAACTTTAATCCAGAAAAAAAAATTACATTCAGAGTAGAAATGTTAGAAAGCAAAACCCCTTCACAAGTAACGTCATTCCGCGCTAAGTGTTGTGTAGAAAAAGTTGTTGCCAACACGCCTTGATGAACATCTTGACAAAAATCTATTATGGGACCCTTTGCAATCAGCTTACCGACCACAACATTCTACGGAGACAGTACTTCTTCGAGTTAATCATGACATTATGGAGGCCCTCGATAATCAATCGTCTGCTGTAATGGTACTCCTTGATCTTTCAGCTGCTTTGATGTCATAGACCACACAATACTTTTCCAACGTTTAGAGACATCTTATGGCATCGGTGGAAAATCACTAGCGCGAATAAAATCATACCTTACTAACAGGCAACAACCTGTTATCATTGGATCGGAAACGTCAGACCCCTGCCATCTTCAGTTTGGGTCCCACAAGGATCCAATCTGGGACCAAAACTTTATTGTCTTTTTTCTAAACCAGTTGGAGAAATATGTCGTCAACACGGTTTCAAATATCATTGCTATACCCAGGTGTACATGATGATAAAATCTCTTGAAAACTTGAAAAACTATTTTAAAAGACTTGAAAATTGCTTGCAGGATATAGGGACCTGGATGTCGACTAATCTTCTTAAATTAAACCAGGACAAAACCGAATTGATAATCTTTACAACGAAATTCCAATCCAAAAATGTGCCAGTCTTACAACTTAAAGTTGGAGAAAGTGTCATTAAGAGTGTAACGTCTGTACGTAATCTCGGCATCCACTTTGATAGGTGTCTCACTATGCAAAAGCAAGTAGCGTCCATCATTAAAACGTGTCATTATCACATTGGAAGAATTAGGAGTTTCATCTCAACTGATGCATGCAAGACTCTCGTGAACTCCTCAGTTAAATCTCGACTGGACTATGGGAATAGTATACAATTTGGCAGAAACAAGAGTTCTGTGGAAAGGCTACTAAAAATCCAGAACAATGCAGTTCAACTTATTACAAAGAAAAGAAAAAGAGATCATATCACTCCGATTCTCGCTGACTTGCACTGGCTTCCAGTGAAGTTCCGCCCGAAATATAAAATCCTTGTATATACCTACCTTGCAGTGTATCTATTTGCTCCCGAGTATTTACAGGAACTGATTACTATCCGTAAAACTAACCGTACTTTACGATCGGACGGAAGTTTGCAACTCAATTTACCAAGAGTGCGCACCGGGACGTATGGTGAAAGACAATTCAACTATTCTGCAGCCCATTTATGGAACAGTCTCCCTGTGCACATTCGACAAGCCAAATCAATCCAGTGTTTTAAAAGACAATTGAAAACCCATTTTTATAAATTAGCTTTTGGTTAACTTTTTAGATTGATCTATCTATTAATTTTTATTTGTATTTCTTAACCATTATAATTTTAATTCATTGCAACTGTATCTTTATTTTCATTTTTTTTTTTTTTTTTTTTTTGTCATAACAAGACATTTTCAATATAAGTCTAATTATTATTATTAAAGTAATATATGCAATGTTTTATGTACATTTATGTAAAGCGCCTTAGGTAGATATTTTTATTATATAGGGCACTATAGAAATTTATTATATTATTATTGCAGCCCGGAGGACCGGGCTGCTCTATACATATAAGTTTAAGTGTTGGTATATGGGGATTGGGGTGGGAGTACTTATTTAGAATTAAAGGTTTTCTAAACATTGAAAAGATTGTTAATCAGAATGTCCTTTCCGTTCAAAAATTACGAGATACATAATATATTTACTTCCATAAAGTGAATCTGTAAAAATATATATGCTTTTTATATTTTATATATAATGTTGCTTATCATTAACTTTCGAAAAAACGACAGGTCCCTTTTTTTAGAACATCGAATTTTACTTCTCGGATGAAAACGTACTCTGCACAGTTCGTATTTTATATTCTAAAATTGAAAATGAATACATTTTTAAATATAGATGATGCGTGTGTCTAACTTCATATTTTATACAGCCAACATTTACTTGAGGAATTCATCAAGTTAAAATGGTATCGTTTTTGATTGATTTTTAGCTGACTGCAAGTTTTCAAAATATTCGCTACTATCGTCTCCATCAATTAGACGCGTGCCTTTTCACTATTTTTGAAGAAGCGGTGATGATCAAGACTCATTTTCATTGTTTACTTTATATATTTCCCGGGCGACAGTTGATGGTTACATCAAAGTTTTCTTGTTATTATTATTACAGAGTTTGACAAATTGATCATGCCCGTGAATCGTACACAGCTTTTGTAAACAGGCCACAAGCTCTGTTATTATTGATGTTTACGATTCACCAGGAGCATTCAATTGTTAAAGTCTGCTCACCACAACTGCACGGACTGACAATATACTGTGTGTATGTTTTGGTTTCGAACATATCTACTCTGGATTTTCTGGATTATAGTTTTACTATTTTTCATTTATACACAACAAGATTGCCACTTTTCTTAAGAATAAAATTAAAATTTGTAAAAGTGAAAGGATGTGTCAATCAAACCCGTCTAAAAATTTGAATTTTAACAACTTTTAGATAAAATATATTTTTTGTGTGAAATGCTATTAAAATACTAGGATATAAGTCGTAATACTAAACAGAAAATATTAAGTTCAAATCTGTGTCCATGCACTTTTAAGAAGATGGGTCTTTTAAATACACTCTTTACCCCTGATACTTTGAAGATTGTTGATTTAAATCCTTTGTACTCTCCCTATCTTCATCACTCTCTGTCAAAGTAGTGTCTGCAAAAAAAAGAGAAATTTATAAAGAGATAAATCCAATACACATCATATTCTACTTCGGTTATAATATTTTTATACAATAGTCACCAAAGTTTGTTTTTTTTTTTTTTTTTGGTTTTGGATACTAGTATTTTGCACTTACCTCCATATTCTTCCGTCAATGTATCAAGGGTTTCCTGTCTCTCAAAGCAAGCTGTATTTCCTGAGCACGATGTGAGCTAGAATTAAATATACGGTGCGAATATTTGTCGGTACGACGGTAAGATTGTACTTCTTTTTTATACTATGAAGTGTCTGAACGTTAAAACTTTGAGAATTTGTTAGGCCTACCTTTGTGTCATCTTGATGTCTTTCTTCCATTTCCTCCATATCTCCAACACAAGAATACTCATACTTATCAGTGAAGACAGATCCTGCTTTTAAGATTTAATTGGTTATTTTAGTGCTCTTGGGCATTTTGCTTCAAGGAAAATTATTTTTTTCGCAACTTAAATTTCAATTGTTTTCTTCACTGGGAAATTATATTATAACATTTTTTTAATTAACAATTCAATAAAGGCCCAATTTTAATCATTTTATCACATTCTGTATCGAGTTTTGCAGAAAGTTTGTTTATTTACAACCGTCAAAATTACACAACATAATCAAGACACAGTGTCTACTACCAAATGCCATTAATTCTAAAAAAGCAAAAAAAAAATCTTGAAATTTAATTCTACTTACTCAGACTTTGCAATTGTTTTAAAACATGTTGAAGTTTTGAAACATCCTCCTTTATTTTCTCAAACTTTTTTGGAAATCTTCTCTGAACTTCATCCTGAAATTATTGTAGAATACTTTTACAGAATATATACTTTTTTGTCTTACAGGTTTTTTTTTATTTTTATTCTTTTTAAAATTATTTGTTCATTTTACCTTCTTTCTTTCATCGTCAGTATTTGTTGATGATAAAATGCATTTTACTACCAATACGTCTTCTACATTTCCAAGTTTTCTTGTCAGATTCCTACAAGCAGAAAAAAACATAGTCAGAATCTTTGTTACATAATAAATAATTCCTGTAAAATAAATAATTCCTAAAGGCACTTCAGTGCTTATAGCATGGAGAAATTTTTTTATAAACGTTTGCTACTTACGATAGTATTTCAGAGCTATCCATTTCAAGTGTTTCAACATTTGAGCCTTTTCCTGACATAAATTTAGAATCATTATCTGGTTTTGTTTCATGAGCTGCATCACTTGAATCCTGGAATTAGAATACTTTATTTTTCAATCATTCATGGCACTCATGAACATAAACTGATAAATGTTTAAAAGATAATAAGATTCAATGTCCTTAATTTATACGAATTGATTTACCAAAATCAGTTGAAACGAACCAAAATTGGTGTTACACTTGCACTTGCATTACGGGGTATAAGTTTTGAAATTTTGTGATATTCATACAATATAGTGTTCGCGTGAGGGTTATTTTTGCAGATATAAAAGAATATTAATCTTTGGTTTAGTATTATTACGGTTTCTTATCTTAAACCGTTGATAACTTTTGCGAAACTTCACTCCTCGCAGAATTTGCAATTCAAATTTTCCCCATGCAAACAAGTTTATAGTATGTAAATACAGTTGGACCCATTAATAACCATTAACCGTCTCGTGAGGTTAAACCCAGGGTCGTGAAACCCAAACCATGGTATAATTTACAATACACCACAAAACAGTCAAAATTGTATGGTTTATCTATTACATAAAACTAAAATATCAAAAGTGAAGATACCAAAGAGTGATCATTCTCATGAATCCAGTTTACAAACGAATCAAAAACAAGACAAAAACAGGGACCCTTGGAAATTCCAAAGGTGGGATCAGGTGTCTGGGAGAATTAAGTATCCCCTTTTGATCGGTGACAAGCGCCGTGAGTCTCTGTATAGTTCGGAGTACTCCGTAGGTATAAAAGTAATAACATTATAAACAGTATTAAAGATGAACAAAATACGATATTCGTAGTCGATATTTTTTTTAATCCGAAATTCCTTACACTCTCAGATGAAGAATTTTCTTCAGATGCGAATTCAGGATTTTCTTCCTTTGGTGGTCCTTCTTCTCTAGCATATATAACTTCTACGTCCTTATTCTCAATTTCGGCTATGAAAGAAAATATTTTATCAAATTTTTCTTTTAAAATGGAGCCTTTTCTGATTTATTTTCAAGGCAAAATTAACCATGTATTTTTAGAAATATTTTACTAATATCATGTATTTCATCTGGATATTAATTTTTTTTAAATCTCACCCTCTGTCTTCAGCTCTAACAAAAATCTGCCTTTAAACAATAATCCATCTTCTTCATTGAAAGCTTCATATTTAATTTTTGCATGTCTTTCTTCAGCTGAAGTATGGAAAATGGTTTTCATATTTATCTAGTGTATTTATAATTTCATCAACTTAATCATACGTAATTTAAATGTGTTCGTGATTAAATGATTAAATTGTTGATACAGAGAAGGATGTTCGCACTTAGTATTCGGCATACAGAATGCTTAGCTTGCAATTGCTGATCATTTAAATCATGAACATCAGAAAGTGATTTATTTCTATTTCATGCTTATTGACGTTAGAATGCGTTTAACTTACTGGCGCTTGTCATTTGGATATTTGCCCTTTGTTGTAAAAGATTTTCAACTATGCTTTCACCACAAGAGATCTCCAAAGCTGAAAGAAAAATCTTGATTGCCTCTGTTCCTCTGTGTAAGACCAATTTCACAAACTGCAAAGTTTTGTTTCTAAGACTTCCACTGCTCATGTGTATTAAATCAAGTTCTTCTGGTGATATTATCCCCTCACTCAAGAGAGGAGTTTGAATTGCACGGATATTAACCACATCTAAGAGGTTTGGTAAACTATCCAAAATATTTCCTTTAATTTGTTCGATGTCTGAAAATTATAACATAAATTAAAACATATCCTTTGTAATACATTTACTCAGCATTCCCTTTTTAAGGATCTTGTCAAATTATATTTAGCATTTTTTTTTTGCTTAAGAACCACTAATAATGGTGTATTTTAACAGATTTTGGGGGGTTAAATGCAAAATTAGAAGAAAAATGTTTATATAATTTAAGATCAACAGAAACATATTTATTTGTATAATGGCCTGAAACTCATCAAATAAGTATAAAGTCTGTAATGTTGAAAGAGAAAAGTTCTGTGTGCTTTTATTTTCCATAGTGTTTGAAAAAACGTTACCAGTATCTCGATATTTCGCTGTATCTGGAAACAGTTGTTCATAAATGTACTCGTTTTTATCTTGCAGTTTATCTAAAACTAGTTTAATTTTCTCCTCAGGCTGCTTTTTGAGATGTTCTAGGAAGAATTCAACTTTTGCTCTTCTCAAGCTTGGCTCCCTCATCTTCTCCAAAACTGAACTGAAAATGTCGGCAACCTCCTTCTCTTTTAGCAAACAGCGCGGTTGAAGTTCTTCCACAAGAAAAATATGACATCTGTCCAAACGCGACTTGTATGTATTTTCGAGTTTTTTATGTTCAGTTGACTGCAAACTATTCAAATTTGGATCTAGAATACAAAAACACAACCGTAGCTTATCTCTATCATATTCTGTCCCAAAATAGAAAGAAACATATATTTTACATCACCACTTAAAAACTACAAAAGAAATCGCCTATTTTATTAATCAAGATACATGTACTATGGAATCATTAGATTTTGTGGTGGCCGGACTTTGTGGAATTTGCGGGTATCCATGGATCTTCCATGAATTTATAAACTAAGATTACATAATGAACAACGTCATATTTCATTCTGTAAGTATGAATGAATACGCAAAATTCCGTATACTTTAAACAAATCCACGAAATTTCCCCCTCAAATTTTGACGAGTTCAGGCGCGGATCCAGAAATTTTTTTCCAGGGGGGTCCACCCCAGTCAAAAAAAATCCAATCCCAAAAATTTCTTGACAAGCAAAAAAAAAAAAAAAAACCTAAACTCGCCCAAACGTCAAAAACCTATTTCGTGGGGGGGGGGGGGGGGGGGGGGATGGGGGGGGGGGGGGGGGGGGTAGTGTTGACTACTTTTGCCTCAAATCTTTCACTTTTCATACCCATTCCACACATATTCGCGTTTACCAGGGGGGTCAGCGTTTTCCAGGGGGGGGGGGGGGGTCCATGGTAACTTTTTTCTTGTTTTAGTTTATGCAACTTTTAACCTGGTCCTGACCCCCCCCCCCCCCCGACCCCCCCTCTAGATCCGCGCATGGAGTTTATAGTACATTGTACCTCATTGTTTGATAGAAGATATCGTCAGATCCTCTGACTTGTACATCATACAGAAGGTTTATTCAATTTCACTTTTATTGTTGTATTAAATGCCTTAAAAAGAATGTTATTCAATACCTTTTCTTTCCTTTACTTCTCTGATCTGAACGTCTATTTCGTATTTTTCTTTCGTCAAAAGTTTTCTTACATAACTGGATTCAAATATTTGTGACAAAAACTTGGAAATACCCTCTGTTTCTATGAATTGCCTTAATTTTGCCATTGCATAGCATGACTCGGTTTGAAGTACAATTATTATTGACCCCGTCGATGTTTTATAGTAGGTTGAGTGTGTTCTTTGTGCAACCGTTACTTCGGCGTCTTTTATAGCAAGTATCACAGCTCTTTCTATACCTCCCTCAATTTTTGTGAATTTTACTTCGAGTACTCCCAATTCTTCAAAGGGAACTATAAAGAAAGAAAAGTTAAAATTATTTGGATTTCAATACATACTGAATGCAAAAAGATAACTATACTGTCGGTTTTTCCTCCTTTCCTGTTGCAATCAAAGACATTTGCAATCCGAAGCCATTCTATTGTACAAAATATTTATAAACGAGTTACAAATTACTAGCATCTTAATAAAACGTGGGGATCTATTGTTCTGATCAAATACTGCTTACATACAATACCAGTGGAAAACTCTGTATTTATTCAATAATATTTTCCCTTTTTAAGACGGGTTTTTTGTCAAACTGTGGAGATATCACTTATTTTCACTACGTGAAATACAACCTCACTTTTTTTTAGCTAAAAATCCTATCCTGCTTGCAAAATAAATTTTCTCAAAGTATACAGCATTGAAAATCCTCTATCTTTTGTATTGAAATGTTTAAGATTAATTTATATTTCACCTTAAAAGAGTTCCATACCTTTTGAAGTCAAATGTAGTTCACCATCCAACATTTTCCATGTAGCTGTAAATTCTCTCTCTGTAAAAATAAAAAGGGGTGCCATTTTAGCATTTAGTCATATTGATTTCAATATTCCATATTATACTTCATCAGTTTATTTTTTCTTTTTACTCTTTGCTATATACAAAATCTATTTCTTTTTTTTACCTGTTTGTTCGAAATCATTATCATCTATAGCTTCGAGACGGCCAGCAAGATCATGTACTCCATATGTTCTTAGTACTGAGAGCAGTACTAAGTAAGAATGTGGAAGTTTGTTCTTTATGCACGTTAGTAGCAAATGAGCTGCATTAGATTTATTTGTATCGGCCGATATTTCCTCATGTTCATATACAGAGACAATATCTTTTTCCAAGAAATCATCAACGATGCTCTCAGTTTCATCCGATATCCTGAACTTGATTTCCTCCAAAAGTTCATTTCTATGTTTATTCAGTGTTCCATCCAAACGTGTGGATTTTATTACTGAAAAATAATGACCAGCAGTGTTATTGTATTTGATTACTAGTATTCAGATTTTAGCACACCCAGGCTTTGAGTTCCGACGAAATCTTTTACATGTAAAAGTTTTAAGGAATCATAATTAATTACATGTAAATGTACAACCTTTTCATTTTTAATTTAAGCATATAATATTCATAAAGTAAGAATCTTTTGGTACATTGGATTAATATAAGGTCTGAGACACGTTCCTTCTAAGATACAGTATGTGAATCATCCGCATTGCTTGTGATGTCATTCTTTTGCTATCTAAACATTTAGTTGTGGCAGATATTAATGAACAGTCTAATATTAAGAGTAATATCACTGTCTCAGTACTGATATCCTTTGAAATTGAACTGTTACTGAATAAACTTAAGGATTTTTAATTATGTTCGATTGACCCTAGCGATTTTTTAACCTTCTGATATTTTCTCATACTGAACTGTATTGGGCAAATATCCAAACAGAATAACCTCTTATATTTGCAATTCAAGTGTTTTCCACGCATCCCAAAAGAATTATAATGAAAACGACATCCTTTGAAATACTGCACAAATGCCTGAAAATGTACTATAATTTTTTTGGTATTATTGTTGAAAAGCAATACGTATACTTCATTCAGAACTTCTTAGGAGAAATGATGTTAATTACCATAATACATGATGACAATAAAATGTAATATTTCAATGAAAAATAACTACACCTTCTTCAGCATTGTGGGAAGTTTCGCCTGCCAAGGCTTCAGACCTTGAGAGAGAAAGAAAACAATGGAATCCTTCTTCTTCCCGGTGGTAATGTTTTATCATTCTTGTGAATTCTGGCAAATGTCTTGGATGCTATAACAGTTTCCTTAAAATAAAGTCGCATTTTATCCTTCGAGGCTTTCCAATCAGATTTTTATCTTCGTCTGTGTCAAGAATATTGTGTTGGACTAGGTAGTCTACTATTGAATCTGGTTCCATTTCACGTTTCAGGAATTTGTAATTTTTCCTTATGTGATGGGCTTCCAAGATGATCGGACTCTCTGGATAGCCACTGTCCTGTCTGTCATAAAATACTGACCCGTTTTTCATACTGGCAAAACTTGAGTACTGGAAAGAAATGTTAATATGTTGTCAGCTTGCTATTGAGAACAAACAACAGCTCCAGTAAGTGTATTAATATATTATGAGCATGTATGTACAATAAGCGTACTGTTAGTTCAAAGAAAAGACTTTATTTTGCCTTAAATTTACAAGCTGTGAATAGAAAGAAAAAGCAAAAAAAATTAATTTTGTACCAATTAGTATTTTAGAAAGTCGTTCAGCTTTTGACCTCATTAAAGATTGGATTTGCTAAAAAAAAAAAGGGGGGGCATTGAAAGTTTTGTTGCTAGATTGCCACTACTGTTTTTTTTTTTTTTAAATAAAACATTCAAGTAGGGAAAACATGTGTAATACTCAGTGGTATCTTTTTATTCTAAGTTTACTAGGATATATCCAGTCGACATATGAATTGAAGTATCTATAGTTAATTAATAATTTGTCGTCCATATTTAAATGTCAAGTTGAAGGCCACAGCAAAATTTATCTCTTGTAAGTTTTTGAATATTAATTCTGCTTACTTGAATGTAATTACATGTTTTAATATTATTAAAACATTAAAAAAAAAAATACATCTACATTTATCAAAATGAATGAGAGATAAATTGCAATTTTTTGAAAAATATCTTTTAAATTTGTAGATAGTAGTTAATAGACTTTTTTGTAAGAAATGTGTTTTATGTCTTTATTAACTAAAATATATTAAAACCCTTTTTATGGAAGGGATATCAGTACTTGCTTTATGCTATATTTAATTTTAGGGGGTCAGTTTGCATAATATGATGACAAAGATCTTGGTGTTCCTTAGAAGTTTTTTCTAGTCTCTTCTGACCCCACTACGAAGTGTATTTTTGTTTTGCGTCGTTTATTTAAATAAATAACATTTTTTCACTTTCAATTAATACCACTGTTATTTTCTTTTAATCCATAAAAAACAAGCTTAGTTGACTTGGCTTCGGGCCAAACAAAGGTCTCTACAGTCTCAATATCATCAATTCTATCAGGAATAAACATCTTTTTTGGCAACATACCTGGCAATTTGCTTTTTTCAAAAGAATTAAATTTTCAAAATGTGAAACAGATTGTATTTTGGAAACGTTTGAGGGCATAATTTTTTTGTAACCTGAGATATCAATGAGATATTTGGTAGGTTGTTTAAATATTTATGCCGAGTCAAAAAAAAATTATCATTGCTATATTTTAGCACAAGTTGATAAATTTCATCTGGTCAACTTTTTTTCTATTTCTCCCAAAACAATCATGCAATTTATAACAATGTTTGTTCATTTGTTCCACTTCTACATCCATAATAAGGAACCAGTAACACAAGCTTTGTCAAATTCATCACTTTTATAATCACTTTTCGTCTTATAATTAATACTGTTTTTTTAACATGCAGTTTATTAGTTTGACCTCTTTTGAATACCCTGCTTTCCTTTTTACTCAAAAATGCTTAATGGAAAGTTTAATATTGTTTTATCTTGCGAAAGAGTGAAAATGTTAAAAGTTTAAGGACACGCAGAAGACAAACTTTAATCAGAAACGCTTACTTAGACTTTTAGCTCAGAAATACTAAATAAATTATAAAATCATGCATTGCGATGCCGGAAACATTTCTATGCAGAGATGCCGTTAATCATTGGGAATATTATACAAAAACTCCATTTCAGGTTTTAATTTAATGGAAGTTAGATTTGTTAATACCAAATCTTACCTTCAGACAAAACATCACGTTACCCTACTTTCACTTTGTGCTTGCACCAGAAATCTTGCAAACTTCATTTTATATACCTGTTTACTTGAGTAATCAACAACGCCTTACCAAAAATGTTTACAGTTTTTGACTTGAAATCGTGCCAATCTTTAACTTTATCAATACGTTAAAGTGTCATGGCCGATCGATTCACCATGCAGGTGCATTGTGTATTCATGTTTGGAAAATTCATAGATGGAACGAAATGCCTCGTTGTAACCTAGTTCATCTAGTACCACGGCAAAATTAAATTTCTTAAATAATAGTTACCTGATTAAATATTGTTATTTGATTTCAAATAACCATGTATCATTATGGAAATACCGTCCAACAAAAATTACTTTTTAGGTATCATTACTACTGTCTTTCCTGATATACTTTATTTTATCAAATAAAATATACAACATGACTATCTAAGGGGGAAGATAGTCATGTTGTATATTTTATTTGATAAAATAAAGTATATCAGGAAAGACAGTTATGTTTAATGACTAGGTATGTGTATGTGTATGGGTGTCCTTATTAGATAATAACATAGTGTAGAATAATGAAGTAGTAATGTAGATTTTCTTGTTTAAATAATATTTTTGTATTATTATTTTTTTTGTATATAGTACAGCAGTATTTCATGTATTTTATAGTTTATTTGAGGTTAAGGATATAAGATTTATATAAAATAATTTTTACATTTACGTACATAAATTGATGCCAATTCAGTTTGCCAAAAAAAAAATGTGTTATTCAAGACAAATAATTCAATCTGTTCAATTTACTTATAAAAACTCCATCTGTTAGATATGTTTTGTAACAATGACACAAAAATGTACAATTATGTAATTTGTTATTCAGAGGTTCAAGTGAATTTACAGATAGGTGTTAAGTTGTTTGCAATTTTCCTTTAGGGTTTCCTTTCATCTTTTTTTACCTAGTGTCAAAGTCAAGATATACTCAGGTGTCAGTAGATTTTTCTTTGTTAGGGGATTACCTGTGTTAGAGTCAATTAATTGATAATGGTCAGTGTCCGGAGATCACGGTCACGTGATCCACTTAATAGCGATTTCAATTAACGAAACTATTTGAGAACAAAGAAACTAAATTTTGATTGGCCGAAATTGACCAGGGAAGCCCGGGTCTCCGATTTAGATTGCGTACCCTTTTTCGGTCATTCTTATCGGAGACCTGAATAAAGCAGTATATTTTACTTAGCGCTTCCCTGTGTCTAATTTCAGGTAAAATAGTTTATGTATTTTTTTTTTCTTTTCTTTTAAAAGTAATTACAATTTATTATTAGGTTTCGTAAAGTTAGTTAAAGTATTTGATTTTGTTTTCAAGAAATTTGAGCTTTCATTCAAAGTAAAATTCTTTTTAAATAATTAATTACAAACAAAAACCAGTTATTCAGTTTTAAGGTTTTTATTGTTTAAACTTTTTATAAAACTAGTTCTCAGTCAATATTCGTCATTATACATGGCTTATTATTATTTGTTTCAATTATTTTGGTTCAAACCAGCAAAGTTCGGAAATAATTTGTTCAGTTTAGGTTTTGGGTTTTACTATTTATTAAACTGGTTTTCACTTTTCACAATGTTGAACAAACAAACCATGCAGCGGGTGTAGAAGGATAAAACGTACGCTCAACTAGGACCTGGGGTCCCCCGCAAATAGTTCGTCATTTTGCGTAGTAATAAAACATTCTAGGAACTCTCCAGGCATTAAAGGCACAAAAGTAAATTTATCTATATCAATACGGAGACCTCAGGTCACCTTATATATTAATTGAATTTTATATGATAGACAATTTTCTTTGTCTTACTCAAAAATAATCATATTTATAACTTTATAAAGATCAACATTCTAATAATAATATATTAGCAGAAACGTGAAAGTAATAAAGGGTGACCAGAGGTAACCTCATATTGTACATCAATAGAGGGACCAAAGATGACATCAGTAGGGGCACCAGAGGCCACCTTATATTTAACATCATTAGGGAGACCAGTGGTCACCTTATATTGTACATCATCAGAGTGATCATAGGTCACCTTACATTTTAAATCAATAGGGGGTCCAAAGGTAATCTTTTATTGCACATAATAGGGGGGGACCTGGGGATACCTTATATCGCACATTATTTGGGGGACCAGAGGTCACCCTTTATTGTACATTTATTTGGTGGGACTACAGGTAACCTAATATTGTACTGTACATCAGTAGGGGGACCAGAGACCACTTTATATTTTCCAGAGGTCACTTTATATTTAACACCAGAAGGGGGACTAGAGGTCACCTAATATTGAGCATCAATCAGTACGGGGACCAGGGGTCACCTTATATTGTACATCGGTACGGGGACCAGGGGTCACCTTATCAGTAAGGGGACCAGAGGTCACCCGATATTTTACATTAATACGGGGACTAGTGGTCACCTAATATTGTACTGTACATCAGTAGAGGGACCAGAGGTCACCGTTTATTGTACGCCAATAAGGGGACCAGAGGACACCTTATACTATACATCTGTAGGGAACCAGAGGACACTTTATATTGTACATCAGTAGGGGGACCAGAGGTCACCTTATGTTGTACATCAATAGGTTGACTAGAAGTCACCTTATATTGTACATCAGTAGTAAGACCAGAAGTCACCTTATATTGTTAATCAGAATGGGGACCAGAGGTCACCTATTATTTTACATCAGAAGGATGACCAGAGGTCACCTTATATTGTACATCAGCAGGGGTACCAAGGGTCACCTTATATTGTACATGTACATCAGTAGGGGGACCAGAAGTCACCTTATATTTAACATCAGAAGGATGACAAGAGATCACCTTATATTGTACGGGGACTAATGGTCACCTTATATTGTACTGTACATCTGTAGTGGGACCAGAGGACACCTTATATTTAACACCAGAAGAGGGACAAGAGGTCACCTTATATTGTACATCAGTAAGGGGATCAGAGGTCACTTTATATTGATCATCAGCAGTTGTACTAGGGGTCACCTTATATGGTACATCAATAAGGGTGACCAGAGGACATCTTATATTGTACATCAGTACGGGGACCAGAGGTCTGCGAGATATTTTACATTAGTACGGAGACTAGTGGTCACCTTATATTGTACTGTACATCAGTAGAGGGACCAGAGG